CCTAACTTACTTAAGATGTAAATCCAAGATATTAGTGGTGTTACAACTACTGCTTTGTCTCCTTGGACAGCTTCAGACAGCTGTTTGGCAGCAACGCGTCTTGTTCTGGCCTTGAAACCAGACCAGCCGTCCAGCACCTCGGGGTTTTCTGCTCCTGTTTCTGCAGCAGGCGGATTAATTCTGTTAGGCATGCACACAACAGTATTTACACCCACATGCGTACTACACTGTACATCATATTCAGCAGGCTCAGGCTGACAGATTGACCAGTGGACAGACAGAAATGTCTTTAGGAATGCAACTGGCGATGAGAACTCTCCCAGTGAAACCCACAGTGGGTGCTGGTGTCTGGTATGTGTTGCATGTCTGACTGCTGGGGCTTTCCCAAAGCTGTGTGAGAGCCGACATGTGTCCACACATATGCTAAACACTCAACACTAACAGTCTGATCGGTTACATAGATATGCTGTAGATGTACTGCCAAGTTAGCAGCTTCAGACTTTCTGGATATTTACAGCTTAAATTTAAAACTTTTTCAGATGTTATGGAAAAACATGCAGCTCGTTTCTTCATTTATTTGGCAAAATGTCCGATTTTTGTTGTTTTAATGCAATTCTCAGAGCGCTGGTTGATATTATTAGCTGCTTAATTGGTCTGAGCAGCAATTTAAGATGAAACATATAGGTTTAGTCTATACAAATAGCCCTTAACCCTTTCCCCTATAAAGATGAGCTCCCCTGTACTCTTAAAGACGAGTTCTGAACCCTCAGTATATCAATAAAGATGTGCTTTGATGACTATTTGAACAGTTTCCAAGGGTTTTCCAAGGATAGCTGCATAGGCAGGGACCACTCTCACTAACCACTAATTCACACCCGGTCATTTTGTTGTAAAAGCAGGCCTGAAATATGAGAGAGACTAATCACATCGGTAGAGAGAAACAAGGGTTATTCAAAGTAGGCTCAGAGTCAATCAAGCCAACAAAAGTACCAGAATAAATATCCCCAAATCAAATCGCTGATAAGACTGTGACGTGTCATCACATGGGTCAGAAGTATTAAAGTTAAAAAGGTTTCAAATGAACGTATTCTTAATGACATTTACCAATACAAATGGTAGTATGACTATTACTAATCTGTGTGAGATTAGGAGAAGGTCACTTGAGAATTTGGTTCTGTGGCCCCAAAACATTTTAGAGTATCAGGCCAGCCATTAACTCAACTCCAGTTACTCATTCTGTGTGCTCTGAACTAATTGCTTGTTATAGAAACAGGTACGGCCTCCCCGAACGACCCCGTAACAGAGCGCCCATTGTTGAAACACTTTATTACACTGATCAACCAGTATTTTGCTGCTGGGAGTCAACTGTACTTTAACAAATTTTACTTGCTGACATCACTTGCGAACTCATTTTCATCACCTGTTTTTTGGTTTGTTTTATTTTTTTTCCCCAGTTATGACATGCCAACTGTTGGACAACTTAGGATGGCTGGACAGAAACAGCGACGCCCTTCAGCATTCAAGAAATAAGTCTGGTCTCAAGGAAAGTGACGCCAAGTATAGGTAAGGTTGGTCCTGAATCAGCAGCAATGGGAAGCATTAACACAGGTTATCCCGAATTTTGTTGGCAATCACAGAGCAGAGAATTATGCTGAGCTTGTGGATAACACAATGAAAACATATCAGCTCAGGAGTGCCAGAATGACACTGAAGACGCACTTACCTCAAGTGTTTTTCCACCAAATCTTGAAGATGTTAGCAGGCAGGACAGATTTGATGTAAGATAGAAAAGTGATGGAGAACTGATATCAGGGAGATTTTGATCCGGGCGTGATTGCGGACTACTGTTGGTTCTTGAGAAAGACAGATGGCTGTGCAGCACAAGCACAAAAGCAAGCATCGAAAAACAGTTTCGAGCACGCTGATCCCTGGTGTGTTTTCAGAATGAACAGATTAAAACTATTTTTGTTAGAAATAATTACAATTCAAATGTAATTACAGTTAAAATTCCTGTCATTGCGTCGATTTATTATACTGACATTCAAAACTGTCAAAACGTCAGTGATTACAAAAACCTGACACGCAAATTCAATTAGATTTCATATCTGAACTCACTGTAAAAGAACTTGATAAATAGCTGAAGTTCACAGTTCAATCAAAGCAGCAATCGGTTGAGTCCAGCTCCTGACAATTTAAATGCCAGAGCTCAGATCTGCTGCTCTTTTCCCCCTGCACTTTTTTAATCCACATTAAGATGCCAACTGGAGTTCAGTTGACAGGCTGAAACTGTTCCCGTCATTAGCTCCAGCTCCAAAGCCAAAACACAAACGATGTTTTTTTGCCCTTTGTGTGTCTGTGTGTTTTTGTGCACAAATTTCTACCCTTTTACTATGTCTCAATAAGGTGCATCCTTGTGTTAATCAATACAGCGCGTTTACACTGCATATTACTCCTAAACAGACCTTTCAAGCTGCTGAGGAGTGTGCACCACTTCAACTTGCAGTTACACTTCTGTGAAGGTGCACGTCAAGCTACAGTGTAGGGTCCAGAGCTGCGCTGGAGCCTGCGCCTTAGACTACACACAACCTCAAACATCCCATGAATCAAACATTAAAGTTCTGAGGAGAAACAATGCGTAGCTGTTTTTAGCAGGAAGCTCTGACAAGCACGCTAGTTGCAAAGTACCTAAATGATAAACAGAAAACACAGGTGGGATTTATCTGCTATAGAGCAAGATTGTTCTTTCTGGAAAGGACCATAAACGGTGCTTAAAGATAGTTGACGTCAGAGTTACAACCATGAAGTGAATGCAAAAGTCCAAGTCAGAGCAAGTGTCAGTTAAAATCTTCTGGATGTGTGCACAGTCCTGTGAGTTTTTGAATAACGGCAATTATGACTTTTAAATAAAGCACTAAGGATATACAACTGCTGGTGTAGATGTCAACAAACGCACACACAAGCAGAGTCATCTATACTCCGCCCTCACTGCTCATCGGTTTCCTTTCAGACACCCTGAAAGTCAAAGGTGACTTCCCGTGAAAAACATCTTAAGTGTGAGAACGCGCCTTTTAGGTGCCGATGAACCGGGGGAAAGGACGGCGACTTCCTCCCTCACCTTCCTTCCCAATGCTGAGAATCAAACTAAACACGATATTAGGGGTCAACAAGTCAAAGAAGACGAATGAGCCAACGTTCACTGTGAAGCCATGAAATTACTTGTTGATGAAGTTTATGTACGAGTGCCGTTTATTTAACTATTATGGTTGTTTTTTTAAACTATTATTATTTTATGAAATCTGCAATCTCAGCTTGGGAGCTTGACATGCCTCAAAATAAAAGCAGAGAGGCTGACGGGAATGATGCTGTGAATAGGCCGAATGCTGAATGGCTGAAAAATAAAAGAGAAAGGAAGCGACAACTTTGTTCACCGTGAAGAAAAAGAAGCCGAAAAACAAAAACGAACACAAAGAAGGGCCTCGAAGGGCAATGACAGCGGCTGAAGAGGACGTATTAAATGTTTTTAAGATCGAGTTTCACATCATCTCATTTCTAAGACGAAGAACATTAGCCCCTGCTGCAGAGACCAAACTAAAGGCCCGGCAATATCATAAGCGTGAACCGCATTACTCATTTGACACTGCCCCCTGGTGATAGTACACTGTTACAGCATGCACACGGCAGTCTGCAAAGCACGTGAATGTACATTGTACAAGGTTAAAATATCAATACTACAATCTAAATATCAGGAGAGCAAATCAATATGCTTTCAGATGTGTGGCTACATGTTGGTGACCTTTTCCTGGATTCTGGCTCCACTGACAGGTGAGAGGTAGGAATTTCAAACATGATACTGATAACCAGGAAAATACTCAATACTCAAAACCATTTTCCGAGAAGACACAAATCAGGGGGTTAGGGGTTTAGGGTTGTATCAGGAAGGACACGCAGTATAAAACGAGCCAAATGAAACATGTGGTACCTGCTGTAATGACCCTGTAAATATATATATATATATTTTAAAAAAAAACTAAGACGATAGCATAATGTGGCTATCGGGTAACTGATAATAGTTAACCAGTCACAACATTTGGCAACTCCTCCCTGAGCCTGCTTCAGCCACAGCTTTCTTCCTTTTAAAAGGGAGTTTTTCCTTCCCACTGTCTCCAAGTGCTGCTCATAGGGGACAGTCTGACTGTTGGGGGTTTCTCTCTAATATTGTAGGGTCTTTACCTTAAAGGTGAAGTGTACTGACTTCAAAAATATGCACTGACCGAGTTGTGGTAACTGTTCAGTACTTTAATGATGTTGACATAAACTAGTTAAATCAATTAGTATCTGAGTCTTGATTTATTTTGACAAACTTTACTCAGTAATGACCCTTCAGGTCACCTCCTTGTTGCCAACTGGTACCTTTTCCTTCCCTTTCGAGCTTTCTTCCCCAAAAAAGGAGCACCGGGTAAAAAAATTGACAGTGCTGCTCTGTAACCGATCTCCTGCACTCGTTGGTTTCCCACTGCTCAGCAGCTGCAAACACATGAAGCCCTCGCTCTGAGGACAAAGTAAGAGCCTTTCTGTTTCTTCTGACTTTCTCTCTCAGCACAATCTCACATGTAAATACAGCCAAGAATCACAGCAAAGTCATTATCTTTACCAAAACTGCAGGGGGACTTTGTTGGACGATGTTGCAGTGATAACCTCATTCGTGAGCCCGTTCGTCGAGGTTCTTTGTTAGAGGTAATTACACATTATAATATTATCTCAGCTTGTTCTTGTTCAGTTCCTCTCACCGTTGCAAACTTTTATTTAAATAAATGAACTAAATAAATAAATGAACTCTCGCGAATGCTGGTATAGCTGCTTCTGCAGCAGCGCCGAATCCGAGTGTGTGTGAGAGGTATGCGTAGCTTCTGATTTTGTCAAATGACATCTCCACCCACAGCTCTGTCTGCTAACCCTAGCATGAACCTCTCGTGGATCTGTGTAGTTCTCACAGCGTTTACCTCCTGACTGTGAGCTTCAGTATCCTGTAGGATCCCTTAATGAGAATCAGGGCTTCTTGTCTGCTGCCGTAGAGGGGGGATCCGTTTATGTTAATGAGTTCATCACCAACTTTCAGCTTCTTGCAGTGGGCAGCCTTCCCTCCGTCCTCGATCTGCAGACAAAGACACGATTTGGTTGAGATGAAAGAGGACACTTGGAAGGCAAACAGAAGGACATTCAAGAAAAAAAGAAATCATTCTAATAATAAAAAAGTCACTCAAAGACACATCAGCGCTGCCAGAACGACTCCTTTAAAGCCCATTTTGAAGACATTTTTTGTTAAACTGTCTTTGTCCCCCTGGCAACTTCACCCTAAACAGCATCTCCAAAAACAGCCCGAACCAAACATCCCACAGAAACCCATCACATTCCCCTGTAATAGACTCTGTGTGTGTTTGGCACAGAGGTGACTGCGGGTCACACAGTGGTGAAGGCTGTGCCGTTAATGCATTGCTGGGATGTTTCAGGGTGTTTTTTAGGCTGCAGAGAAGTGAGACATTGACGATTGTGCGGTGCAGTGTGGTGAGAGGTTTCAGTTCAGCCATAAATCTCACACACACACACACACACACACACACACGAAGAGGAAAAAGCATGAAAGAAATAAAAGACAGGAACACACAGACGGACGGGGCAAATGACCTGCTTACTGAGCGGACCACCGGCAGGAAGACAGTCAGGCCAACAATGACAGAAAAATCAGGACGGATCTTTTTTTGTCATTTATTTTGCTGCGGTTTTATTCCCACATTTAGAGAAGTACTGGAACAACATGCTCATGCATCCAAAGAACAAATATGCATGTCACTGCAAATGCACTATAACGCTTCTGCTGGCACCTCGTTTCAGTAGTACTAACACTTCCACATAGGTAGTGTGTCATCAGTGACAGTAGCTCATTGGAAAAGCAGGATGGAAAATGCGCGCTGTTTACCTACACTTAAAAATGCTGCAGCCTGATAGCATCAATAAAACAGTTGTTTCCTCGATCATCAGAAACATTACTGTAAATTCTCTTCAAACATCAAAAAGTATCAAACCATCAAGTTGTCAGAACTTTTCCATCACAAAGTACTTGATCGCGTCTCATGACATCCGTACTACAAACCACATGAGAATGTCTGCTTATTGGCTAGCTGTGAACAAAGCAAATGCAGGAAGTCATTGGTTGATTATATGGTTTACTGCTGCAGTGTGTGTACTCTCCAGGTCTGCAGTACTCTGTGGCCTCCCCGATGCAACGCATACCTGCTACTCTGCTCAGACCTGCGACGTACACCTGGTAGTTTAGTCGAGGCTGGACCATGTTCTCTCTATAAACGAACCGCCTTAGAGTTTAGATTCGAAACTTGACAGAGTCCGTGCAGTCGCCGTTGTCCGATCTCCAGACACAAACCACAGCAAGGAGTAAAACAAACCTGAGTTCGTTTTAAACAGAAAGTGGTGCAGGTGTGAACGCACTCTAATGATTACGTCGTATTTTTCAGCTGACTGTCTGCATCCACACCTGCATGCCTCACAGGGGGAGGAAGTCTTTTAGTGACCAACCATCATGTACAATCCAACGCGCCAGAACAGAATCAGTGGACAAGCTTAAGTGGACAAGCTTTATTTTGAAAGTTCGAACGCTTATCTCATCTTGCATTTTCTCAACCGGATAACTTGTTGGCCAATCTGGTTTGTCATATTTTAGTCCTGCTTATACAACAAAATGACTGGGTGTGCCTCAGAAGTTAGTGAGGGTGGTCTCTGCCTATGCAGCTACACTTGGAAAACCCTTGGAAACTATTCTAAAGGTCATTAAACCACATCTTTATTGACGTATGCTGAGGTGTCAAAAACCATTGTTACAGGTGACGCACAGGCGAGGTCGTCAAGTTTTGGGTTGTGTGTTAATCGGTCAACTCAAACACTTTGTCATCTTTTATAAGTATGTTGGCACTGTCATGCATTTTTTCTCTCACTGCCTCTCGAGCTAAAACAGTTTCAAAAATGTACCTTTTTGCAAAAAAACAACAACAAACAAACCAAAAAGCACAAGTGAAGGTGGCAACAGATTTCTGTTCACAAACCACTGTCTTAATTTAAATGTGTTTAAACTAAAGACACTGATACTGGGTAATCTGGGAACACAAAACTTTGTTTCAGAGATAAGTGATAAAATGCTGTTGGTATGTATCTAATAATAATCATTAGATACATAATAATCCCGGGCCGCCCCCCACCCCCAAATTTCACACCCCTCAGATAGTGACTGAAATCCTTTTTCTTCTTTGGCTTTGTCAGAGGTCACCAGGCAGCTAGAAGCTGGTTTTATTATCCATCACTTTCAGATATCAACCCCAGGTGAATTCCACTATTAACCCAGAATAAATGCTCTTTAAAGATGTCTCCGGGGCAAACGTAAAGGAATATATTCCAGGGTGGAAACGGAGAGCAGACTTGCCCCTTCTTTTATTAATCATTCATTCATTCACTTTTTTGCTTTTACTGCTTCAGAAAAAAAAAAAAATCAAAGGAATGCGTGTCATGGAAACACAGGTCTGATTTCACGGTTTCAGGATTTTACAGACACGCAGCGGGGGACTCGGCCCTGCGAGCCAACTCAAACATAAAGTGAGATCTTTCACATATTAACTCATTCTTTCTGCCGAGCTCTCCTGGGTCTGATGCTGTCATCGACTTCAAAGGTTAAATATTTTCATCCAAACATGAAAAACTTTAAGCAGTTAGTCACATTTGAAAGGGACACTTTTATCACAACTTTGGGTTTTGGTAGCACTCTGTTTCTGTGCTGTTTTAAAACTATTTTAAGAGTCCAATTTAAGAATGATGACTTAGTGACTTAGGGTAAGTCATCAGGTCTTTCTAATATGCATTGGCCTGTGTCCATTTATCATACCTGAGAGGAACAATGCCAGAAAACTGTTTTCTATCAACATCCCTAATTATAGCAAACAGATGACAAAAAACACCTCTCTGGAAAACCCTGCTGGAGCATCTATTAACAGTTGTTGTGGAAGGACCTAAAACAGTAACATCAATAGTGATGAGGGTGGGGTCAGGTCGGCAGATTGAGGTGTTACTCTCTTAAGTCATCATTTTTTCAGGTAAGTGTTATATAGGGTTTTCCAGGTTGGCTGTCAAATTATACTGTGAAAATGTCTTAAGACACTTCTTACTGTTTTGTATTTGCTTCCAAGGACTTGGTCTCAAGCAACAGTGCTCAAGCCTTTTGGCATTGGCTGCCTTTTTTTCACTCACTTTCAGTCCTTTCCTTGTACCTGACCAGGAATAATTTTATGACTTATTATTTAACTATTAATCATTCAAGGATAACAAAGGGCACCTAACTCAAGAGATGAACCTGTTTAATTCTGCACATAGCAGTTAACTTCACAGGAAACCAATTTTAAACTGTATCTTTAGGCATTTTATTATTAGCAGCCTGTCACAAAAACATCAACAGATTGTGACCCATCCTGTAATACCATGCTGAAACTATCTGATTAGTTGCCAAACACACTGCCAGTGCATTAAAGAAACATAACTGGAAAGAAAAACACTGTGAAACATTATCCTCCCCAGAGCCAGGACCTCAACATTACTGAAGCTGTTTGGGATCATCTAAAGCAGTAATTTTCAAACTGTGGTAGGTGTACCACTAGTGGTACTTGAACTCTCTCTGGTGGTGTGCAGGAAGTCTCCATTTTTTAAAGATTAAATAATATACCATTGTGGAGGTATGCAAAGACTACACAAGAGCTTTGAGTCCTCTATGAAGAGCAGCCTTTGCTTATCGCCAGCTGTCGTGGCCACTACGGAGTGCTTGCGGGCTCGTTTCCCTGGGCCTTGAAACTGCAAAGGCAGCACGGCGCTGTTAAGTTGATGGTAAAAACGCAGCCCTTTTCCACAGTGTCACCGTGCCGAGATCCTAGCCACCATTGAAGAGTCAGAGGCCCCCAGGAGAATCGGTGGGGGTGCGGGAGATGCCATCAGTAAGTCGGGAACTATCGCCTGGATGCCGAAACTCCTGGTAGCCAGGAGAATCCGATCCACTTCTTCTGCGAGTGAGCGGTAATCCTTCGCGGCCAGCAACGGGGAGTTGGGTGGGTCATAAGTGTGGTACTTCAAGAGCCATATTTTATGAGGTGGTACTCACTGTGAAAAGTTTGAGAACCACTGATCTAAACGTTGCTAACATCCAAAGAAAAGGTTTGACTGTCCTTTAAGAAACCTGGAGAACTATTGTTGAAGACTACTTAAAGTTACAAGAACGCTGCCTAAGAGAGTCTGGGCTGTGTTGAAGAACAAAGGTATTATTGACTTATTAATAATGACTTTCAAACTGGATAGAAATCTACAAACTCTGCTTGTGCCTTGTTACCTGTATTTCCATGTACGTTTCAATAAATCCATCCATTCCACTTATCCTTTTCAGGGTGGCGGGGGGTGCAGGAGCCTATCCCAGCTGTCATAGGACGAGAGGCGGGGTACACCCTGGACAGGTCGCCAGTCTTTCACAGGGCCAACACACAGGGACAGACAACCATTTGCGCTCACATTCACTCACACATTCACACCTATGGGAAATTTAGATTTTTCAAGGAAGGGCAAATGATAAATTGACTGGTTCTTATACATCACGTTTCTACTCCGCGTGAGCACTCAAAGCACTTTACACAACATGTCTCAATTAGCCATTCAAACACATTCCCGGAAGCATTTTTTTCTATTCACGCACATTCACACTGTGATGGATGCAAGAACTTGGACTTCAGTATCTTGCACTAGGATACTTTGGCACGCAGACTAGAGAAGCCAGGGATGGAGCCACCAACCTTGTGATCAACAGATGACGTACTCTACCTCCCGACCTATAACCACTGAAACTTTTCTTCAGTCCCCAAAAAGCAAACAAACCCTGTGGCACCACTGACAGCTAAAGACGGATGGTTAGTGAAACTGGGTTAGATCATTTATACTAGCCTAACCCTATAAAACTAGGGTTACAGGAAAGTAAGGCACAGGGAAGCTGTAGGATGAATGTTAAACTGTTCTCAGTAAAAGCATGTTGAGCATCCCTGACAGACAGGGATAAATATCATTAAA